GCTGGCGTTCCTCAACGAGCCCAGTCTGCTCGACAACATTGCGCGCCGCTACGCGCACGACCGCATCTACACTTACGTCGGCCCCGTCCTGCTCGCCGTGAACCCGTACAAGACGCTGGCCGAGCTCTACTCGCGCGAGGCGATGGACGCGTACCGCGGCCGCGCAATCGGCGTGCTGCCGCCGCACGTCTTCGCGCTCGCCGACCGCGCGCGCCGCATGATCCTCTCGGACCGCCGCAGCCAGTCGATTGTCGTGAGCGGCGAGAGCGGCGCCGGCAAGACGGAGAGCTGCCGCGCGATCGTCGACTACCTGGCGCACCACTCGCGCGAGGAGGCGGAGGACCTGTGCACCGCAATGCTCAGCGCCTCGCCGCTGCTCGAGGCCTTTGGCTGCGCCTCGACCCTCCGCAACAAGAACTCGTCGCGCTTTGGCAAGCTGATGCGGATCTGGACGGCGGCCGGCGGCGCCTCCTTCTCGCACTCGTCCATTGAGACGTACCTGCTCGAGAAGGGGCGCGTCTCCAACCACGCGCCGGGCGAGCGCACCTTCCACGTCCTCTACTACATCGCTGCCGCCGCCGCCGCTGCCGGCGCTGGCACCGACGCCACCGCCGCCGCTGCCGCCGCCGCAATCGACTGGGCGCCGCTCGCGGCGGTGACAGAGGCCGCCCGCGGCGGCGGCGCGGGCGCCTTCCGGCTGCTCTGCCCGAGCGGCGAGGCGGCGCAGGGCGGCGACGCGGCGCCGCACGACGAGGCGTGGGGCAGCACCAGGCGACCCTCCCGACAAGCCTCCCGATTCCGCGAAGCTTCCACCGCACACCCGCGCCGCATTCCACCGCGCCAGACGCCGAGACATGCCTCGCCCTCCCCCTCCCCCTCCCCTCTCTCCACCCTCGCCCACCTCACGCCCCGCCTGACGCCCGCCCGCCTCCGTCCGTCCTCACCCGCCTTGCAGCTCGCCGGCAGCTGAGTTTGCGAGCGTGGTGTCCGCCTTGGGCGCCCTCGGCGCGTCGCGCGGAGAGGTGCAGTCGGCGGCGCAAATCCTGGGCGCGGTTCTGCTGCTCGGGAACCTCCACTTCGCCGACGACGAGCAAGACAAGGCCAAGGCGGAGGGCCGTAGATGCGGACAGACGGCCTCCCAGCCACTCCCACTGTGTCTAGCACCCCTCGCGCTCGCACCCTCACCCTCCCGTCGCCACCCTCCCGTCGCCACCCTCCCGTCGCCACCCTCGCGTCGCCACCCTCCCGTCGCCACCCTCCCGTCGCCACCCTCCCGTCGCCACCCTCGCGTCGCCACCCTCCCGTCGCCACCCTCCCGTCGCCACCCTCCCGTCGCCACCCTCCCGTCGCCACCCTCCCGTCGCCACCCTCCCGTCGCCACCCTCGCGTCGCCACACCGCAGGTGGCGGACGAGAGGAGGGCCGACCTCGAGGCAGCCGCGGCACTGCTCGGCATCGGCGCCGCCGGACTCGAGCAGCGCCTCACCTCGCGGACGGTGCCGTTGTAGTAGTAGTAGTGGTAGTAGTGGTGGTGGTGGTGGTGGTGGTGGTGGTGGTGGTGGTGGTGAGCGAGACTTCTCTCCGAGGGCTCACTCGCGGACGGCGCGACTCGGGCCGAGGCCCTGCTGCGCCGTGAGGGAGTGCTCTTCACTGCGAGCTCAACGGACGACTCAGGTCCACTCGGGCCGCGGGTCGATGTACTCGGTCCGGTACGACCGCTCCCTCGCCGACGGCGCGCGCGATGGCTGTCGCGTGAGAGACTGCACGCGAGATGGCGCGAGATGAGGCGAGATGGCACGAGATTAGGCGCGCGCGACGGGCTGGCGCGCGAGCTGTACGAGCGGCTCTTCGGCTGGCTCGTGCGGAGGATCAACACGTCGCTCGCCGCGCCGTCCGCCGCACCCGCTGCCGGGAGCACCGCCGCGAGCGCGAGCGGGTCCGTGCCCGCCCGCGCGAGCGCGGAGGAGGGGGGCAGCTGCTACGTCGGGGGCAGCTGCTACATCGCCATCCTCGACATCTTCGGCTTCGAGTCGCTCGGCGTGAACTCGCTCGAGCAGCTGCTCATCAACCACACAAACGAGTCGCTGCAGCACTTCTTCCTCGACCGAACCATGCGGGCCGAGCTGGCCATGTACGCGGACGAGGGCGTGCCGGTGCGGTCACCGCCGAGAGGGGGGCGAGCAGACTCGTCGCCGAGAAGTGGTGAGGCGGGTGTGGGTTCGCTGTCAGGTGCCGGCCATCCAGCTGCCCAACAACTCGGCGTGCCTCGAGCTCGTGCAGGCAGAGCCGCCCCTCTGCATCATCTCGGGTCTCGGCTAGATCTCGGCTACATCTCGGCTAGATCTCGGCTAGATCTCTATGTCTCCTTCAGGCAAAGCCGGGCGGGCTCCTCTGCATCATCGAGGACGAGGGGTGCGTGCCTCAGGCGAGCGAGATATAGTCGAGAACGAGATGGCGGTTCAAGTGTGGCCCCGCTCGGACCCTGCTCCGACCCCCTCCCTAGGCAAACGACCACACGCTCGTGGCGCGCTTCTTCGGCTCGCACCGCGAGCACGCCTCGATCCGGCTGCCGGACGTGATCCTCGCCAGCGGGCGGCGCATGCCTGCACGCAAGTCCGCGCCGCCCGACGGCACGCGCTTCGTCGTCGCGCACTACGCGGGCGAGGTCGAGTACGAGGCGTCCGGCTTCCTGTCCAAGAACCTCGACGCGCTCCACCCCGAGCTGCCGCTGCTCCTCCAGACGTCGGCCCACCCGCTGCTCGCATCCCTCTTCGCCACATCCCGCGACGGCGGCGCCGACGCGCCGTCCGCCGCCACGCCCGCCGCCACGCCCGCCGCCACGCCCGCCGCCACGCCCGCCGGCAAGGCCGGCGGCACGCCCGGCGGCAAGGCCGGCGGCAAGGCCGGCGGCGGGCGTCGCAAGTCGAGTGCGCGCGGCTCTCTGCGGGTGCGCGGCCTGGCGGGAGGCTTTTCCAAGCAGCTCGAGTCGCTGATGGCCACAATCGGGGCGACGACGCCGCACTATGTCCGCTGCGTCAAGCCGAACGCCGCGCAGGCGGCCGGCCGTGTCCCGGCCGTGTCCCGGCCATGTCCCGTCCGTGTCCCCACAGCTGCACTTCGGCTGCGTCTCCCGCAGGCGGCGGGCTGCCTCGACCTGCCGCTCGTGCTCGAGCAGCTGCGCTGCGCCGGCACGCCGCAGCTGCTGCAGCTGATGGGGCGCGGCTACCCGACGCGCTGTGAATTCGAGGCGCTCGCGAGCCGGTACCGCCCGCTACTGCCCGGCTTCTCGCCGACTCTCTCCTCGCGCGACTTCGTCGCCGCGCTGCTCGCCGCGCTGCGCCTCGAGCCCGCCACCGCCGCGAAGCCGGTCGCCGACTTTGCGCTCGGTGCGTGCGGCAAGCGGATGGAGCAGGCGAGTTGTGGAAGAGCTTCTCGGACCCTCCCCTCCGCCCTCCCTGCAGGCGTGCGGCGCGTCTTCTTTTCCGCCGGCGCGATGGCGACGCTCGACGAGCTGATGCACGGCTCGCAGGCCGACGTCGCCGCCATCCTCGACCGCGTCCGCGCATACGTCGCGCGCCGCCGCTGGGTGCGCGCCACCGCCGCCGTCAGCGCCTCCCTCTGGCTGCAGCGGCGCATCGTCGCGCGGCGGCGGCTGGCGGCCCTCGCGCTGCGCTCACGCGCGCTCGCTCTCTCGCTGCCCGCGGCACGCCGCTGGGCTGGCGGCGCTAGGCGGCGCCTCTTGGAGCATGCGAGTGCGAGCACGCTGGCTGCGGCGGAGCGAGGGCGCGTCGAGCGGGCTCGCTTGCGCGCGGCGCGCACCGCAGCCGCGGTGGCGTAGAGATGTCGGGGACGCGTCCATGACTTGTCCATGACGTGTCGTGTAGGCGCGCGCCGCTGCAGTCGTTGTGCAGGCGCGCGCGCGCGGCAGGCTTGCGCGGTGCCGCCTCCTTCGCGAGTCGTCCGAGCAGTCGGCGGCCGCGTCGCGGCTCGTCCGCTCCGCGCGCAGTTTCCTCGCCGTCCGGCGCGCCGCGCGCGAGGCGCGGCCGCGCACGCAGAGCGCGGAGATCGAGTCTTGTCCTCCGAGCGTTCACCCTCTCGCCCTGAGGGTAGGCGCGTCGCATCCGGAGCGTGGTCGTCGCGCAGTCGGTCGCCCGCCGCTGGGCAGCGCGGCGCGAGGCGGCGGCGGCGCGCGAGGAGCTGCGGCTCGTCCGGGCAGAGGAGCTGCGGCGCGCGCTCGAGGCTGCACGCGAGGCGGCGGACCGGCTCAACTCGGCGCGCCGCGCGGCGGTGTGCGTGCAGGCGGCCGTGCGGATGCTCGCGAGCCGCCGCGCCGTCGCCGCGCTGCGCGAGTCGAACGAGGCAGCCCGCCGCGCGGCCGTGGAGGCGCGCGAGGCGCGGCAGCAGGCGGCAAAGGCGGAGCGCGCCGCGAAGGCCGAGGCGCGGCAGCGCGGCGCCGCGGCGACGCGCCTGCAGTCGGGAGCGCGCGCCGCCCTGGCACGGCGCGAGGTGCAGCACCTCCGCCAGCTCTCGAGCCAGAAGCGGGCGGCGGCCGCGGCGGCCGCGCGGGAGCGAAAGGAGGCGGCGCGGAAGAGCAGTCTCGCCTTCCTAGAACTCGCGCGCCAGCGTGCCGCCGCGATCGTGCTGCAGTGCGCGGCGCGCCGCCGCGCGGCGCGCCAGCGGTCAACAGTGGTCCGCGAGGCGCTAGCGCGCCAGCGCGTGGCGGCGAGAGAGAAGGCAGCCGCGGCGCTGGTGGCGCGCCTAGCAGAGAAGGCGCGCCGGGCGGCCGCCGTCCGTATCCAGTGCACGGTCCGGAGGGCCGTGGCGGCGCGCACCTTTGCCGACCTGCTCGCCGCCAAGAGCGCCGCCGCCAAGAGCGAGCGCGCCAACTTGCGCGCGCGGTACGCGCAGGCGGCGTCGGCGCTGAGCGCGGGCTGCTTGACGGCGCCGCTGCCGCCGGAGTTTGCGGCCATCCGGCTGCAGGCCCGCTGGCGCGCGGTGGCGATGTCTCGCCGCGTGCGGCGCGAGGCTGAGTTGCTCGCCGCGCAGCGGACGCAGCAGGAGGAGTCGGAGAAGACGCGCAATGACGTCGTGTCCGCCATCAAGTTGGCGGAGAAGCTCGGGGCGCGAGCAGGTGAGCAAGAGGGGAAGATCGCCGCGCAGGCCGCCGAGCTCGAGGCGCTCCGGCGCGAGAAGGTCGAGCAGGAGCGCCTCATCCGCTCGCTCTCGCAGCCAGCGCCAAAGCCGACCTCACCCCGCCGGCCGGAGGCCTTCCCCCCGACGCCGCCGTCGGGCACGCCGCCAAAGCCGCCGCCGCACGCGGCGGCGACGCCATCCAGCGAGAAGCGCGGGACCGTCTCGTCGAAGGTTCTCAGGTCGGTCTCGCGCCTCTTTCAGGGCGCGGGCTCCACGCCTCGCGGCTCTGCCGAGCGGCGCGCTGCAGTCGGCAACACCGGCCCCCCACGCGAGACAAAGGCGTCGGTCGCGCGTGCCGAATGGCGGCGGTGCAAGGCGGAGGAGGCGGAGGCGGAGGCGGAGGCGACGACCTCCCGCGCCTCCCCGCGCGCCTCCCCGCGCGCGTCGCCTCGCGCCTCGCCTCGCGCCGCGCACTCGCCGCGTGAGAACAAGGCCTCCCAGGCGCGCCGGGCCGCGACCGCGTCGCAGTTGCCGAACGGCACCGCCCCGTCCGTTTCGAGGCTGCCGCAGCCCCCCAAGCGGACGACGCAGCCGAGCAAGCCCTTCGTCGCCGTCCTCGGGGGGGGTGCCGCGGCCGGGCCGCCCAAGCCGCCCAATCGCCGAGAGTCGCTGCTGCCGCAGCCGCCGAAGCTTGGCGGAGGGCTGCCGGCAAACGGGCGGCTCTCGTGCGCCCTCCAGGGCGACAGATCCAGGCTGCCGAGGCCTAGTCTCGGCGGCTCCGTGCGCTGCGGAGAGGTTGCGACGGCCGGCTCGATGGCGGCACCGCCGCCGCGGCTCCCTTGCCCTGCAGGCAACGAGAACACGCCGCCATCGCGGGCAGAGCAGCATGTGTGAGGGGTCGCAGGTTTGCGCTGGCTACGCAGGTGACTCGAAGGCTGCAGTGCTCGACCGCGAGAGCGGAGAAAAGCAGATGAGGGATCGCCGGCCGCGCACTGAGTATGCAGTGAATTGATACAGGAACACGGTTTGTGGGGTTTGGGGTGGAGTGGCGAGTGGAAGTGGGGCGGTCTCTCGCAGGGACGTATGGTGTACGGCTTTAAGGTCCCTCGGGCCAGTTTCGGGGGGCAAACCCCGCCCGGCCCCTAGAACCCCAGGTAAGGCCCAGGTATGGCCTAGGGCATCAGAAGGGACCAAGAAGAGTCCAGTCTGAGCCATAGAGCCCAAGCATGTCTTTGCCCCCGAAGGTCGCGTTCAAATGCCCGGAACGGACGTTACAGTGGTGTCCGGCCGGCGCGATCACCGAGCTGTGACGCTCAGGGAAGCCCGATGAGGTACTGGTTTCTTTGCCCAGGCCTGGCCTACGGCCCGTGCTGGATCAGCTGAGCAAGGTTTGGGAGAATCCTATAGTAGGATCTTCAGATATTTTGACGGATGACCTAAAAGGGGCAAAAACGGGGTGATTTCGGTCATCCGTCAAAATATCGAAGCATCC